TGAAAGGCTGCGGAGGGATCCAACAGGAGCAGCAGGGACACGCTCCCCCGTCAGCGCTGAGCCATGCGCCATCTGCTGGCGTGCCCAAAACGGCCTCGGCTCCACATCCCACGCTGAAGCCAGCCTGCAAGGGGCCCAGAGAAGCCGCATCACTCGGGTCTGCCTGGAGCCGGAGAGACGCCACCCTCGCGACCACTTAACAGAGAAAGGGCATGTTTGAGGCTGGTCTCATGTCCTTAAGGTCCAGAGGGCTCAAATTAGGTCTCTGGAGGAGGCACCGGCGAGTAGGCACACCGCGCCCGCCCCCCCCCCCCCCGTGTCGCTGCCCCTGGACTACCAGCTGAGATGGACACAGATCAAGCAGGCAGGCGGTTCTCCTCGCCGGTCCAGCAGGCTCTCAACCTGATCAAGACGTGCAGACGGAAACTGACCCAAGGTAACCCCACCTCTGCAGCGTGTTTTGCCAGGGGGGAGCCCAGACCTCCGCCTCCGGAGCTCCAGCCACTGCCTTCCTGCTTCACACATCCGAGATCCTCTGCATACCAGGGGCAGCCTTTGGGAGCAGATGGAGCGGATGCTCAGGAGCAACTGTGCCTCAGGCCCTGCGCGACCCCCAGCTCCGTTTTGTGGCTGGGGACGCGCCAGGGTCACTGGCAGCCCCGGCGGCAGAAACACAGAAGCAGAGCGAGTCAGAAGGGGCCTCCCGGGCCATCCAGTCTGACCCCTGCTCCAGCCGACTGCGCTCACGGCATGCCCACCATGTGCCTGTCCAGCCTGGCCTTGAGCACCCGCACCGATGGGGCCTCAACCACCTCCCGGGGAAGCCCATTCCACACCCTCGGGGTCCTAACTGTCAGGAAGTGCTCCCTGGTATCTAAATGGACCCTTGGTTGAAGACCCCGCTAGGGCTGACTGGAAGCCTGTTGGAGCCATAAGTCTTCATGGGCAGACAATTCTGTTAGGGCCACCATTTCTACGGGACAGAAAAAGGCACTGCTCTGGCCAAGCCGTCTTCCAAGCTCCCCGTCGGAGCTGCATGTGGCATCAAGCACACGTCCAGCAGCACGTGGGGGTCCAGAGACCCACTGGGACACGCCCGTGGCTGCCGTGGGCGCCAGCCAACTGGAACCAAAATCCCCCAGACTTTTAATCCTCCAGCTCCACTTCGGAGGCCAGGCCTGTGAGTCTGCCGGGCAGCAAGGCAGTCTGTATGCCAGCAGAATCCCCGGACTGGCACCAGACGCCAACTTCGAGTGCGCACGCCTGGTGCATCTCGGCTCCTTAATGGGGTACCGGCCAAAGGAGCTCCTACAGAGCTCGGCCACTCTGCCCCCTCGCCCACTTTCCCTCAGCTACTGCCCCCCACAAGGGCCAGCTGGGGGGCTGTGCCCACAGGGGTCGCGGTCTTCTCCCAGCCAGGTCCCCATGAGACAGGCCAGGCCACCCCTTCATCTCTAACCAGACCACGATGACTGCAGTTTTATCACATGCTGCCTAACGTGACGCGGCCACAGCGTCTTTTCACCTCTCGCGAGCATAATGCCCGAATCACGGCCTCGTGGAGCCAAACTCCACAGCCTTCCTGACGTTTGCGTTCGGCAGCAGACCTCGAGAGGCTCCGTCCCCTCCCCACAGGGACGGAGCGCCTCCGCCGCAGCAGGACCCAAGGTGGCCGAGCGTGCCTCCTGCGTGTCAGCACCCGCGGAGCAGTCCCCTCGTGCCGCTGTTCATGGCCTGGGCCCCACGGGGCTGCTCGTCTGGGGTGGACTTCCCTGAGCCGCGACCAGACACGCTTCCAGTCGCGTTCTTCCCAGACTCCGTGCCGTGGGGCTCGTGTTTCTGCACCTTATGCTGCTGGTCATGGTTGGCGCAGGCTTTGGCCCCTCCTCTTACGTTTAATGCGGACCTCTAATTTGTGCGTGGTCCTCCTGAGGCTCCCCGTGGCAGTGCAGCGACGCACATTCATGACCCCCTTGCTCGCTCGCTCACGGTGCCCCTGTGTGCGCTTGCCAGACCTGCAGCGAGGTGGGAGGGGCTGCTGCGGGCCACGGAGGGCGCACTCGGGCCCGGCCACGCCAAACCGGTGCCTGTGGTGGGCGTCCCCCGTGGGGAAAGCGCCACCCTGGCTGCAGGGCTGGCACCCCCTCCGCACGTGCGACAGGCTGCGCTCGGCTGTCCGGAGCCAGACCTGGAAGAGGGCGGAGGCTGGCGGGGGCCCACGGACCGGGTGCAGCGTGGCCTGGCCTCCCCCTCCTGTGGGGGCTCTTGGCCAGCGTGCAGGAAACCCAGAGCCCTGCGTTGGCTGTGCCCTAAGGCACAGTAAGCCGCCCCGATTTGTTGTAAGCCGCCCCGATTTGTTGTAAGCCGCCCCGAGGCTTCGGCGAATGGGGCGGCATAAAAATGTTTTAATAAATAAATAAAAATAAAATAAGGTGCAAAAGGGCCTCGACACCCGCCGATTCACCGGCACCTCCGCTCTGTGCCGATTCACATCCTGGGGCGCCGGCACGGGGTGGACCCGCCACCCGACGCATGGCCGGCAGGAGCTGGAAGGAAGCGGCACCTGCCCCTTCGCAGGGACCCCCAGGCTGTGGAGGGGGGGAAGCCTTCCTCCTGCCCTAACATCACAGGGCTGCGCCTGCAAACTCCTTCGGGGGTTCCTGGTTTCAGAGGGATTTCCCGGCCCCTTCTCCTTCTCTGCCAGGTTGAAGATGCACACGCACACCACGCGCCCAGCTTCGCTCTCCAGAAGGCCGTGTGGGTTTCTTGCAGAATCAGTGGCGCAAGAGGGGCATCCTCTCTGCTGGCGGCTTGGATGCTCTGTCTCCTTCGAAATGTGAGCCATGCTCTTTAGATTTTTAAAGGCAGGCCATCCGCACACACGGTGGGAAAGGGTGCCCAGGAGCACCCGATCCGCCCGGCGCCCTTTCCCCGCTGAGTACGTCACCTGCAGCCAAGTGGCGGCCAGGGGTCGTTTTCCGGAGGGGGACTGGCCACAGCCGTGTCTGGCCACGCCTCGCCTCGCCTCGCCCAGTGAGGGTGCCCTGGAGGAAGGCGCTCTGCGGGGCTTTCGGGAATCCTTCCAGGCCAACTGGGCTGTCGTCCGATTCCTCCCCAGGCCCAGGCACTGGGGCTTCTCTATGGGACCCTGAACGGCTCGGTCCACCAAGAGGAGAGTGCGCCTCCTCCTGCGCAACACTTCCGGTCCACTGGGGCCGTCCCCGGAGTGGCTGTGGTGTGAGGCACCTGCGCCTGCCCCTCCTAGCAGACCCCCTGGGGGGGGCTCCCCCTGCCACAGGGGTGCAGCACCAGCCCCGGCCGGAGGGAATTTGGGCAGAAAGTGAATGCGTCCTTATTCCCGCGGGGTTGCGGGAGCTGGGCTCTGCTCCTTTGCTTTCACGTTTCCTAGTGCCAACAATGGGACAAAACGCCTCCAGAAGCCATTAGTCCCGGCGGCTGCCCTCCGTCGTGGACCGCCTGGGCTGAAGGCACTGTGCCCGTGCGCTTGGCCCTGCTCTTGGGGAACTGCCTGCACCCAGGCCAAATGGGCAGCCCGGCACAGACGTGGGGAGCGCAGACGAGGCGCGGGCCTCGCCCATCCCTGGCCGGCCCGGAAGGAGACGCGCACCGACGCCAGGGCACCTCTGCCCACCCAGGCCTCAGACGAGGCGGTGGCCACAGCAGTTGCCGCAGGTGTCGCAGGAGCACGGCCTCGGGGCAGGGCCAGCCACAGCTCTGCAGCAGCTGAAGGGGCTGCAGCGTTGGGGGGGGGGCAGGGAACCCCCTCCTCTGCCAGGGCCAGCCCGGCCCGGCCCGGCCCGGCCCAGCCCTGTAGTTGTGATTAAATGCACGCGTTCTGACAGAGAGGGACAGCCCGGTGGTGTGTGGAGGCCAGGGAACTGCTCACTGCCGCACTGGCCGAGGCGCATGGAACAGCAGCACAGCGCAGCAAGACCCGTGCGCCCCACAACACGTCTGGAGTCCTGCGGAGGAGCCGCTCAGGTCGGCAGAGGAGGCTGCCCGGGCGGCAGCAGGGCTCAGTGGGCCCTGACAGGGGCTGCTGCGTGGCGGGTGGAGGCCGACGCGCCCCCAGGGCCAGAGAGGGAAGGCTGCAGGGCCGCCGGGGCAGCCCCACGGGCCCCGCGCCAGCCCCAAGCGGGGCCCGATGCCCGCCCCACCTCGGGGCCGCCCCGGCCGCGGCAGCACCACACGCGGGGCCCCCAGCACGGACGGAGCAGCCGAGAAGAGGAGCCAGCCGGTGACACCAAGCGTACGTTTTATTGAAAGACCAACTCCATGGCGAGGGCAGTGAGGAGGGAGGCCTCCGGCCGGGTCTGAACGGCCGTCGCTGCTCCGCTTGGTAGAAGTTACAGATAAATATCGTCACATACACGGACAGCAGTGAGCGCTAGTCGGTCAGCTAGTACTGAGTGGAGACAGGCAGGGCGGGCAAGCGGGGAGCCGCCAGGC